AGGGTTGTGACTTGATTCCTCCATAGCAGGTAGTTTGTAGAAGAAAGTTTTATAGTTAACAGATGAAGAAGGGTGTTGAAGGGAAGATTGGAGGAATCATTACTGGGAGGTGTTGAGGAGTCGCCGACCATAAGATGAGAGAAGAAGACAGGTACAGAGGTGAAGAGAGATAGAGGATCGAATTATTTGGCTGATACCATGTGAGAATTGTATTTTTTTTATATTGATTGTAAAGATTTACAAAGCAATTTAATAAACAGAGACATTCTCCTAATAAGGTGGAGATATAAAAGGAAAGTAATTAATATAAAATACAACAATGGGGTGACAACTCATAAAAGGTTGTCATCCGTTAATATGAACATGAAAAATATGAAGAAGATGTATGCAACAACCCAAAAATATGAGAGAAACTTGAGAACTGTGGTACATTATACTTTGAAGTCAAATATGCATCAATGTGTTTTTGGTTGTATTGGTAATTAAATGTTAATGTTTGATGTTGGATTGTATAATATTTTGGATTTTGGATTTTGAAATTTATAATTATTGTATTTTTGTTTTTAAAATATGTAATTATGGGTATTTTTATTTTTATTAGAAATTAAAAATATATATTATATTTGCGGCAGATCAGTGATGGACATAAAAATTTTGATATCGAAGATTTGCAAAGGATTAACGATCGATTTCATATTAACTTTCGTCGTCAATGCCCTAAATTTGCAAAAGAAAATTTGTGGCTAAGCTTGTCGCAAACAATAGGGATGTCAAAAAGTCTCGTGGAACCCCGTTCCTGTGGGGGCCCCGTCCCATTTGGGGAATTTATTAAAAAAAATCAGGGGCGGGGGCAAGATTAACCCCCGTTTTAATTTTGGGGGCGGGGGAGGGGTAGGCAATCCCGTCCCGAAACCCCATGGGCCCGTTAATAAATTATGCATATATTTAAAAATATTAATTATATAAATATAATAAACAATAACATGATTTTGAGCTTCCAAAATTCAACAAAAAACATGTTTTTAAGTTGTTAGTATAATGTTTTTAAGATGTCATAACTCTCTCTTTTTTTTAACAAGTCAAATTTTGCTATAAATAAATATTTGTTATCTCAAAAATAGTTTCTTTTAGCTCAAAAAAGACACTCCAAAATAAATCGGGGGCGGAGGAATGGGGTGGGGGTAATAAGGGGGATTCGGCGGCGGGGGCATGGGAGGGGGTGGGGGATGCACTCTCCGTCCCGTTTGCCCCCGTTGATATCCCTAGCAAGCAAAAAACTTTATGTTGTTATATCTGTAACGCCCGGGTTTCGGGGCTAAGCATTATCAGATGATGTGATAGTCTAGGTCAACTATTGTAACTCTTTTGAGATAATAAAGATGAAATATTTGAGTATTATGTGAATTATGTGCCTTTATATGCTTATTATTTATTTATAATGATATAATAAATAAAGGATAAAAATAAGCGTCAAAAATAAAGTGTTAGATAATCCCAATATCGATGAAGAAAGTTGTATTGGTCGTGACAAGGATTCCGGAAATATAAAGAACGCCGAAATCCAAGTTATAACGAAGAAGTTATGACCTGTCGAAGTTTCACGACAAAAACCGGCACGACGCTGTGTGACGTAAATAGTGAATTTACGATAGAGGACTTTTTAGCCTTAGTAATCTAAACCAAAGTTGTAGTATACGTTAAACTGAGAGTGTGCATAAAAAGAACGCCCAAATCTGACTTCGTATGAGGAAGTTATCAATTTTCTAAGATTTGGTTTAGCAGTGCATAGCCCGAAACTCGAATTTTAGATCGAGCGGTTTTTGGCCTACACGACCTAGATGAGAATTGAAGATCTCATTAATAGGAACTCAACGGTAAAAAGACAGACGAAAACGGAGTCCGTATGTAGAAGTTATGAATTTTACGCGGACATTTAACAGTATAATCTCCTCGTACTGTTAAATTTAAGATCGGTCGAGAATTAGCCGACGGAGTCAAAATGAAAGTTGTAGATCTTATTTTTACCTACGCGTGGATATAAAGAACGTCAAAAACGAAGCTCGTATGTGAAAGTTACGGATTTTAGAAGTCGGAAGTGTGCTGTGCGAAAATGGGTGACGTGGCACAATCTTGGCCATTGCTTTCTCCCCAAGTCTTGCCACCAGATGGTGACATGTGACACCAAGTTCAGTAATATTTCACCCTATAAATAGAACCTCTTCCACCCTCATTTTCTTCATACCTTTCTCATTCTTTCTTTCTTTCACTAGTTTCTCTCTCTATGCCCCCTAACCCCCCCCCCCCCCCCTTAAGACTAGGTAAACCCCCTAGCACCCGAAGGAAGCCCCGAGGCTCCCGGAGTCCCGAGAAAAAGGGTCTTTCGGTTCGGAAACGCTGCTCCAAGCGAAGCCCGGTTTTTCTATAAAACCCGCTGTAAGTGAGTTACGTCTACGCTATTTTTAATATAGCTTTTATTTAATTATAGTAACATTATTAGGACCTTAAAATAAGTACTTGGGCTATTATTATGGGTTATATAAGTATTGTTTAACGCTTATATAATACTAATAATAGCTAGACTATTATTTAGTCACGGTTAACGTTAGACTAAACCATAGTGGTATTGATACTAGGTTTTGTCAAGGGAAAAATTGTTTTGAGATAACGAAGCGTTGTCCGAGTACCGAGTCACCACCCTAACAGGTGAGTGCATAGTCACTTTCATCTTACACATAGATATGAAGTATTTAATATAAATTACGTGCTATGTGTGCATATTGTCTGAATACTTGTTGTCTATGCTGATGAAAGATTTTTATACATGTTTTAAATGATTTAAACTGTATATGTATTTTATATCTACAAAATGTTGGGGTAAAACATGGGTAGATGTAATAGACGATGTGTGATAAAATGATGAGAGGCCTCGATGTTGTTGTTGTTGTTGATTCTGTCATCTAGCGGAGTATGGATGACAACCACGGACTCTTCTAGACAGTCCAGTGGAACGTTAGCAGGCTCGCAACCTATAGGTGTTTGTGAACGATGTGTTCACCGGTGTACTCCATCCCCCTCATGGTTGCCTTTAGGACATTTATTGTTGAGGAACCCCCTTAGCAGTAGTGTCCATCCCGATGATGATCCTTAGGCTAGGTCCCTTATGATAGGTGTTTAGGGACGTAAAGTGAGGATAACGGGAACGGGTAATCGGGTTATTGTTGGTTGATGAAATTAATAAACTTATTTATTGTGGGTTGAAAACCCTATGTGCTCACCAGGCTCCCAAGTCTGACCCACTCAGTTTCTTGTATTACAGGTAGTGGTGCACGAGCATAGATATGATGTTTGGGATGAGAGATTACAGATATAGGCCTGTAGATATGAATAAATGTAGTAAGGCTTATATTGTACTGTTTATGCTTTTGATCTGTATCGAACATGACATCCCGAGGTTTTTAATGAAATACATTTCTACGGAAATGCTTTGATAAATCTTTATCATATTTTATTTTGGGAACAAATTCCGCAACACTTTTATTTAAAATGTTACTCTGATTTTTAAACAAAGCATAAACAAAATCGGTTTTTTCTGGCCGTGAAAATGGGGATGTCACAATATCCCTCGCTAAGTCATTTGTCAGGATTTAATTGGCTATGGAACCATCATGTAGCGAATCCATCGTAAATTGACATTAGCGATTACCGCTCGCTGAAACCTATGTTTCTAGTAGTGTATGCTTATTATTGTTTTTGAACGGTTGGTTAGTAATTAGAAGTTAAATTCACCAAGTTAGTTAATTCACCTATGTCTGAGTTTGAACCCGAGACCTCCAATCTAAGAAGCTTCCACCTCTACCACGTGGATTAATCCCACATTGGCAATAGTGTATGCTTATTACTTGATGAAACAATATAGTAGATAACCTCTCTCTACTGTGACATTGGTTTTTAAATAATTTTAATACTCATGCCATGGATTTGTTATGAAGGGGTTGTTGTAGAACACCGAAAAAAGGTAGACTCGAAAGGTTAAAAGGTTGAAGCCTCCAACTAAGTTTTGATGCCAAATTCCTCAAACTTCTTTGATTTGTTAATGTTATAGGAAAAGTATGGAATTCGGTTGTACTTTTTTGTTTTGCTTCTAATGTTGTTATGTAGAATATGGATTCTAGTTGGTTATATATGTAGTCCAAGATTGTCTCTCGAAAAGAACTATAGTCCAAAATTGTCTCTCAAAAAGAACCATCATGGAGAGATGGAGGGCAGAACATATATAGAGAAATAAGGAATCAATGAGGTTAGGATGTATCAAGCCACAAGATTGCGGACGTCTGCTTTGATACCATGTAAGATATATATATATATATATATATATATATATATATATATATATATATATATATATTGTCTCTCCAAAAGAGCCCTTATGGAATGATGAGAGACTTCAACATCTATAAAGACATAAAGGATCGTGTCATACCGATGTGGGATAATTAACATTTTCGAGCATTGGGGGCGCACTTTATGTGATCCTTTGTTTTGGGGCGCCTTCGTTCAAATTAGTTCTTGAACCTTCTCTTTTTTCTAACCCTGAACACCTCATACCACTTGTTTTATGTTCGACCCTTTGTTCTTAAACTAACTTATACATTTTAAACAATGCAAAACGAGTGAACCACAACAAAAGAAGAACAACACTATTAGTTAAATGGAAAAAAGGCTCACCTGTTAGGCTGTTAACTCATGGATAATACTTACCAAGGAAATTAAGCAAAAGTATAAACTCTCTACTTGTGGTATTGATTTTTTTACATGTTTAGTTAAGTTACTAATAGCCTAAAAATGACATGTTCATATTCTAGGAAAGACACCCTTTTTTCAAACAAAAACCAATCAGATTGATTAAAATCATATTTCTACAATATAGGTTCATCCAAATCCTTGCATACCCAACGAGGCTCGCCCCTATCCCAAAAATAGAAAGAAAAAAAAAACAACAACTAAGAAATCGATGATAATAACGGTTGTGTTGAGGTTGATTCTTCCATTCCAACACACACTTGAGGCAAAGAAGGTGGACGATATGCATCTATGGCTTCACGACAAGCAGCATCACTTGGCCCATCTTTGTCAAATTCATCATTATCCTTCGCATCCTAACCAACAATAAATTTGCAAGATTCACAAGGGCATTAACCTCTTTTCCACAGACAAGAGATTTGTAAAATGCACGTCAAACACAGTACAAGAAAATCAAAAGTGTACCTTTACGGAACATGTGTAAAATGTAGGAAGAAAACGAAACTTGGAATACTCATTGTAAGCTATAGTGAAAACAAGGAGTGGTATTGTCGCAAAAGATGCAGAGGGTTTTGACTTTAGTCCAAAGAGACCGATCATGGTGATTTGCATGATAATGATGGCAACCACCACATGGTGATGAAGGTGGGGCCAATACTGCCCACATGTCTCGTATGTTGTTTCATACACATCTTGCATCTGTATTAAGACATTGTACTTTGAAAAATCTATTCAAGTATAACTATAAAGATTTCTATAATTGGAAAGATTTTTTAGACAAAAGGAAAGTAAGATGCTTCATGCTATAACAAACAAATAAATGAAAGTAAGTTGCTATTTGTTGCATATTATAATAAAGAACAAACCTGATTAATGAATACCACGTATCCGAGAAGAAAGTAGACAACTAGAAACGGAAGAAGCAGTGGTGCAATGATGGAGTACACAATGCCAACAAGTAAAAAGAGAGAAACAAAGGGAATAACTCTATAATAAGGAAATGAAGAAAGATAATTGGATTTCTTTTTTCCTCGACCCCATGTACGTATTTTTAAAGCATCCCATGTAAGTAATCCAGGTTGAAGAATCTCAAGAGAAAAACCAGATAACCCACTCGCCAAAATGTATGTCATAAAAAAATCTGCCTGAACATAGGAAAAGAAATTAAGAATATATAAATAATGGTATAAAAAGTATGGGACTTACTTGAGCAGAGACAGCTGTAGCAAGGCGACTTGGGACATCTTTTGGATGAATGAAAGTTTTCCCAATTTGATCAAGTAAAGATCCGGATAAAACGGTTAAAAAAAAGACATTTCCCATTAAAAAATAAAAAACCATGTTGCTAGCTTTTTGTTCTTGTTGACTTCTTGAAACATAACCTGCTATTCTTGCCATTCCTTTCATAACAAAAGGAACAACATAAACAAATCCACTAAGAATCACACTTGGAAGATATCCTGTAATAACCGAGCTCAATCCTGGTCTGTTGAAATGCAACACAAATTTACTTTCAAATATAAAAAAAAAAAAAAAAAAAGTTACTTACTTACATCAATTGGACAGCCATGGCTGGAGGGAACCACTTTTTTAGTTTTTCAAACTGTGTTATTCCCTGAACTGCAGTTACTGGAATAGCAAAGAATATAGTGAAAAGAATTTCTGTGACAATTACTCCAGTTCTATAAAGTACCAAATGCTTATAAGGGATTGATAGATTCTTCCACAATACATCTCTAGGTTCTGGAGCCATTTGAGTGATCCACAATAATGGATTTGGATGTTGTTGTGTTTGGGCAGCAAGGGCAGCATCCCAACGTGACCGAAATGTTACAAAAGCAACAGGTAACTCCTACAAAGTACAGATTAAATTCATGTTTGTGTATGTGAATGTGAGAGTAAATTACTAAATTTGAATAAGTAGTACCTCAAGATTGTTTCCAGCATATAGAATTTGATAGGAATGATAAGCATTAGGGTGGTATTTGGAGAAGAAATGATCAACACTGCAGCTAAGTGATTTGTGTTCATCGCATAAAGGAACTTGTCGAACAAGAACAGTGAGTTGACTCGGTTGATTCCTTAGGTTACGAAGTTGTTGAATTCTTTTCATAAGGACAACCTTGTATTCCTAGAGATCACATCACCTGTTATGAACCTCACCAAAATATTCAAATGCAATAAAAAGTTGACTTTTTAAATGAAGTAGAACATAAAGAAAAGTAAATGAGTACCTTGTGAAGGAGATATATTCCCAAGAAAGATATAAAGCACAATGATGAAAAGTGCACCCAAAGCCTGTGGAAATGAACGAAGTGAATTAGTATAATCTGGTACCCTAAGATACAATTTGATTTTGATGAGAAATTGAGAATCCATACCTGTTTGATCCTCTAGGTATATTGGAAATGGTGAAAGAGTCCATAGAACGCGAGCTTGAAGATAGCTCAGGGGGAGACAGCAGAATAGTTGAGTGGCAAAAGAACCATCAATCCGACAACAGAACATACCACAAAAAACTTTATCCTGTCAAGTGAATTGATGCAGGACTTCTAATAGATTAAAATCGGTAGTATTGAGTGCCCTAATTTATGTTAGTTTGCCATGGAAACAATCACTACAGCTATCTATCGTGTTATTAAAGAGAGGGATTATTGTAAAAGAGAAAAAGGGGGAAATGGAAGTTTTGGTAATTACCCGAGTTTAAAAAATCTGATGAGAACGAGTGCATCAAGGCCGAGGGTAGAAAGGATTTCGTCCTCCGTAACTCTAACAGCATCTCGGATCCAATCAACGGACGGAAAGAATCGGTTGGAGGAACGATCGAAGGAAATTGTATGGCGAAGAGCGAGACGACGAGGGTAGTATATGTTGGCATTGGCAGGCTGTTTCCGGAACACGGAGAAGAGACACAGGATCACAAGTGCAAGCCCTATGTTGATCGTCGCCGATGCTATTAAGCTCTCCGCATTCATTTCATTTCAGTGATTCTCCGACGGAGGAAATTTGCAGGCTGAGACTGAGGTCGGAGGGTGTATGTATGGGGTGCTAGTGCTTGCCACCTTTGATAGCACGTGGGCACGTGGCAGAGCTTCAGCGAGTATTAACCAACTACAGCAATGAAGATAATTCAGAACAGCTGCTTTGTGTGGCACGAATGCATGATCATATAGGCAAACATGCAAATGACAATGGGTTCAAGATATCCAGAAATTTCAAGCTTAGATTAAATAAACAAAATTTTCGTGATTCAAAACCATAAAATTGAACTCTTACCGGTTGAAATCGCGATCTGTATAAGCCGCAAAGATCAAAATTGGAGATCTGCTTCTACAATTTGGAGAGATATTGAAACTCTGGATTCAATTAATCGAATTTCAGTGTTATAATCCTGTTTTCAGTTACAACTGGTCCCAGATTTGACAATTGTAATCGGTCATAACCGTTTCAAATATAACTAGTTAGTTTTTATGGATCGGGTCACCCGACCCGATCAAATGAACTTGGATCTAAATAGTTTTAACGAAAAAAAATCCAAATGACGAAATTATAATCCTGGTGGATGTATTTTCTTTATTTGGTTTTTTAAAAAACGGATATTTAAAAAACACAAGTACACAACTATAGAATTAAAAGGCTTGAATTACGTAAACAGGCTATTAAATCTCCTTTTATTGTAGAAGATTCAATAAAAAACATAAAAATAAATAATTTAGTTGTAAAATGATAATTTATAAAACAATGCTGATAAAATAACATCATAACTTTATATTATATGTAAAAAATTATTCAGAAAAAATATTATTTTATATTATGGCTTTTTATCAACATAATTAAAAATCCAATAAACTAATATATGAATAAATGAATAAATATCTATGATAAAATAAAAATATAATTATATAAATATTGAATTATTTTTTGGTTATTATTTTGATAACCAAAATTAATTTAAAATCTACAATATAATAATTAGGTTTTAGTATTAACCAATCTGAAATTCCAAATATCCTATTTGTATAATTGAATCCAAATGATCTAATTAAACGATTAAATATTGTTTTAATAGTGGACAGCCATAATCGCATTCCAAACCAACCGATTCCTCTTTCAATATAAAGTTTTTGCTGTTTCTATATTTAATTAAATTTCAATAAAAATAGAGAAATTAAAAAAATTCTACATTTTATTTCTATTTATCTTCCTACCATATCAAATGTTGACATATGTCATATTTAATGAAATTGATAATATTTTAGTCTACTTGTTATCATTTAATGTGAGTAGGAGTATAGTAGGAATAAATTATAGGAGGATAATGTTTTTTTTTGCCACATGTCACTTTGTCATGAATTATGACATTTGACATTTTATGGTGTTTTTGAATTTAATAAAATCCAAATGTCATTTTCTTGTATTTATCAATTTTATTTAAAAATGTCACATAATTATGTATCTATGAGAATTTAAGAATACACGTTTCTTCCAAATTTCAATTCCTACATTTAATGCCATTTAAATCAATTTTCTGTTTATTTTTCTTATTCGATATTATTAACCTAAAATTATGCTACTATCTGGCATTCAAATTCACATATATTATATTTTTTCAAAAACTTTCCGGTGTATCTATATATGTTATACATATTTAAAATTTTGCTACTAACATTTTTTTTTTCTTAGATTTTTTTGTTTTTTGTTTTCTTATTTTCCATAAAAAATTTGTTTAAACATCTTTTTGAGAATAATAAAATAATAGAAGTTATTAGTAACTAAATTATTTTATTATAAATATTTTAAATAAAACACTGGTATTACTATGTATGAGTATAGTTTTTTTTTTATATTCAAATTTATATTTTATAGTACGACATGATGATTGTATCATTAATCTTGAGTTAAAACACATTGTTGATGTTTTAATATTTACACTTTGATATTTAACTTTTACTTTAATCAACTCGTGTAGTACACGAGTCTCACATCTAGTTTCTCATAAAAAATAATTTTTTTAAAGTTTCCTTATAAAAGTGATCTCATTTTAAAGAAATTTTTTTAAAGATAAAACATTTTTAATAAATAACCGCATACAAATGTATTTAAACAAAATCCTAAATAAATTTTTAATGAATAAAATATACAGATTACATCAAAGCCTATGCATAGTATATATTCAAATTACTGAAAAGGTGATATACTTTTACAATTTTTTTATTAAAAAAAATCTCACAATATTTTTGTTATGAGACTCTTTTTACAAATCTTTTTTAAGGGATAAAATATTATTACAAAAAAATCTCACAATATTTCTGTTGCCGACCGGATCTGGAAACTTTATGTGTTTAGATTTCTAAACGTTTAATTATGATATTAGAACTTGCATGTAACTTTTCGGAGTAATGAGGAGATGTATACGTCTATCATGAATAAAGCTTTCCTATCTTAATTCTCGTCACTGCACACCGAACGTCTGATTTGGTGCATAGATCGAAATGGTGAGAAACCACAGCGGATTAGGAAATGCTAATGAAAACCAACAGCCACAAGTGATTGAGCGTGCGTCAGAGGTAGCAGCTGCACCCGAGCCAATCACGATGGCAAGAGTCCAAGCAATGATTTGGGCTATGATGGCCAAACAAAGGGAGGAGATGAGGAAAATGTTGCTTAATAGGGATGAACCTACTGTGCCTATTGTGCAACCCGAACTGAATGAAGAACTATCAGAGGAGGGAAATTACAACCATACTGTGAGTCAAGTTGGACCCCGAGTGGTCAGGAGGAACGACCCGGACAGAAGGATTGATAGGGATGGGCGCATGTATAAGAACTTCTTGGGTGCAAAACCACCAAGTCTTTCTGGAAGCCCAAATCCAGTAGAAATTATGGGCTGGATCTCCGAGATGGAAATGGTATTTGAAAGTTGCAACTGCAGCGATAAGCAAAAGACCGTCTTTGCAGTCAGACAACTAAAGACCGGAGTTTTAAGTTGGTGGAAGTTATTGGCAGATACAATGCCACGGGGAGAAGCCATGCGGATGTCTTGGGAAGCATTCATGGAGCAGTTGAAAATGCAATACTGCTCAGCGATAGATCTGATAGACCTAAACAACGAGTTTCTGAACCTGAAGAAAGGGAAGATGAGTGTTGATGAGTATGCCACCGCATTCACCGAGAGGATGAAGCTAAACGAGTTTCTGAACCTGAAGAAAGGGAAGATGAGTGTTGATGAGTATGCCACCGCATTCACCGAGAGGATGAAGCTATTCCCCTACTTGGTGCCTACTGAACTTTCCAAGATAAATAGATTTGCTAACAGATTGCCAACAGACTTTGGCCCAACGGTCAAAATGGCAACTACTTTGAAAACAACCATTAGAGCAGCTAAGAATGTAGAGACTCAGATAAGAGAAAAAAGTCTAGAAAAAGATAAGGCGGGAGAAAAGAGGAAGATTGAGGTATCCTCAAGATCTGAGAAGAAAGGAAGATTCTTAAAGTCTAACCTGGATGACCAAAAGTATAGAGCCAAGTGGTGTGAAAAGTAGAAGAATAAGCACTATGGGAGATGCAACGGAGAAGTGACTTGTTACAAGTGTGGGAGGATCGGTCACTATTCTAGAGATTGTATGCTTAATGATAAGGTATGCTATGGATGCGGAGACAAGGGGCATATGTCAAGAGATTGCCTGAAGAAAAATGAAGCAGCAAGACCAAATTGTTGAATAAGGTGTCTAAGTCCATAACTATAATTGGTATGTACTTGACCCGAGAGTAGCATGGTCCATTTGGGTTGCATGTCACCAGAACATTTGTAAGGATGGACTTTTGAGATGAGGCTATTTATGATTTATTAATATATTATAAGTTCTAATATGTTAATACGAAATCATATTATTTAATTAATATTGATCAAGAATTAATTTGGAATTAATTTAGTGATCAAAAGAGACTAATTAAATGTAAGGGGTTGATTTGGTAAATCAATGATTCTTATAGTGTGGGCCTATGGTTATTTAGGTTGGGCTAAACCAACATGGTAGTCCATGGATAGTCCATGGAGTTTTAACCCATGGAGCCTAAGTAAGATGAAAGGTCATGCACATTAGGGTTTACATGGATGTAACCCTAATCCTTTCCACACTATATAAGAACCCCTTTAGCACATGAAATCGGCCACTAGTAACCTTTGGAAGAGCATAGCCGAATTTTGGGTGCAAGTAATCCTCTCTCAAGTACTCCATTGTTGGTGGTGATGTGTGAAGCATTTGAGGCATCACATTTGGGGTGCTAGGCTCTTAAAGGTCCAAGGAATCAAGCTCCAAGAAAAGGTATGTCATCTAACTAGTTTTTGTTATACAAGTACCCATGTTTTGCATGCTAGTTAGGGTAATGCTTTGGAAAATCAAATTGCATGTATAATTAGAGAAAACATAGATCCAAAGATTTAGGGTTGTATGTGCACCTTAAGGTTGTTAGGATGCTCAAAACCCATCAGTGGTATCAGAGCTTAGGATTGTTTTCTATTATACTTGATGTTTTATTGGTTTTCAAAGTTGAAAAAGTCAAATTTCTGCATTCTGACTGGTGAACTCGCCGAGTCCACTGGGTGACTCATCGAGTCCACTCAGAAATAGACCAACTCGACGAGTCCAGTTCATGTACTCGCCGAGTTGGTGCCCCTGTGTGCAAAATTTCGAGTTTTGGCCAGAATTTGGATTAGGATCATTACCCCAAATTGTTTTTTGAACCATGAAATCTGTTTTTTCATAAGGTAATGATCATGCTTGTCCAATTAAAATATAATTGTCATAATTTTAAGATTTGTATTAGTTTATATGATTAGGCTAATTTCTTGAAGATTGATGATATGAATTATCTTGTGCTTATGAGTTTAACTAGATCATGTATGTATTTTTTATTATTGTGTTAATTAAAAATGATCTAAATGGTTTTAATGGACTCCATCTTGTCCTCAAGTTTGGAAAACCCAAAAGTCTTTTCTTTAAAAGTCATTAAACTCATAAGTTATGGAAATGACAAGGTTTTGAATAGTTTCAAACTTGTCCTCAGTTTTGGAATTTGTAAAGTCACACTTATGAATACTTTAATTCCAAACCCTAGAATTTAAAAGTTAAAATCACCCTTATACTATGTATATTATAAGTTTAATAATTATATATATGTATAAAACAAGTCAGTCTTACCGTTAGTAGGCCTCATTCATTAAGCCGGAATATAAGGGGGGTATAAGGTTACTGCCTATAAAATGGCAGTTTAATGGGTGTCCATTCTCACCCACCGCTTCCTTGACTGGTAGAGGGTCGTTAGCCGAACGGGTAGGATAGGACATTAATTCTCGTTAAAAGTATAATGAAAATTATAAAGTAACTAAATGTTTTATTAAATTCCCAATCTTAGTTACTTTAAAAATGTGAAATTGATG